TTCAATATAGATGAGATTGTTTGACTTGACACGAAATTTAAGAACGAAAAAGAAAACTTTTGAAACTTATGATCCTAATAGTTTTGTGGGGGTCATGATATTTGCATGGGTGTAAGAACTTCTGATTATATGTAAAATGGGTAAAATAAAAAATTTAAAGTTAAATTATTTTCAAATATATAAATGTGTCATTCTTTTGGAACAAACTAATAAGAAAAATATTTTATGTAAATTGAAAGGGGAGGAGTATTTATTTTTGAATCATATTGTATTTTTATTTGTTTGTATCACCGGCTATATATGAGGTTATAATATTTAAGTTTGTGTCAATAATTATTCATATAATTTGCTCTTTTTAATTTATAAAATTTAGCAGGATCATAATATTATCCGCACATCGTGCGGGTACTAATACTAGTTAGTAAAAAAGGAAGAAAAAGAAATCATAAGTGGGTAGACGGGCCATGTTGTATGGGGAGAGTGTTGGTTGGTTAAGAACTCTCATATCCAGAAAAAAAGTAACAGAAATGAGGACGTTGGGGTGGATGTGCGGGTACACTAGGATGGATAAGATTATGAATGAAAATATTCGGGAGAAGGTGCGCGTGGTTCCTATGGATGACAAGATGCGGGAAGTGAGGCTCAGATGGTTCGGGCACGTGCGGAGGAGAAGTCATGATGCTTTGGTGAGGAGGTGTAAGCGATTGGCTTTGGCGGGTACGAGAAGATGTAGAGGGTGGCCTAAGAAGTATTGAGGAGAGGTGATCAGCATGACATGACATGGCTGCAGATTTTCGAGGACATGACCATTGATAGGAAGGTGTAGAGGTCGAGCATTAGTGTTGTAGGTTAGGAGGTAGTCGAGTATTTTCTACTCCGTACCGGGGTGAGGCTAGTTTGATAGGGTTGATCTTAACTGTTAGTGGTTAATGTTGTGTTCATACTATACTTTCGTTTTTCATAGCACTGAGCCTTAGTTACTGTTATTGTTATTGCAATTTCATCTATTTTCTGGTTCTTATGGTGATGGTATTATTTCTATGGTTTCTGTTGATGGTACTGATATATTGTCTCTTCTCGTCTTTTTCATCTCCTTGAACCGAGAGTCTATCAGAAACACTCTCTACTCTATCTGGGTAGAGGTAAGGTCTATGTATACACTTGTCACGGCTCCAATTTTCCACCTTAGGATATCGATAGTATATAGTCTCTAAGACTAGATAAGCCTAACATTTAATAATAACTTAATAGAAATATTCAACAGAAATACTAAAGCAAAGACTGATAGAGGTGTACAGGGCTGGAATGAGGAACTTGAATGGACCATCATACATGCTAATCAAAGGAACTCAAGAGGGGTGGTATACAGGCTAATGCTTGCTGTTGCCATCTACTATGTGTGTCAGGAAAGGAACTGCAGAATCTTCAACCAGAAGAAGAGGACAGTGAAAGACATCACACGATTGATTGTCCAGGAAATTCACTACAGGAGTAGTTTAAGACCAAAATTAGCTAGTTTCATGCAAGAACTTACTGTATATCCATAGTTGCATGTATGCAAAGACGTGAATGATAATAGGTTTAGAAGCGCCACAATTAGTCCAAAACCAAGGTTGGGGCCATCTGTCCTGAAGGGTCTGATTATACTTGCACATATTTCTCTTGGTAAATAATATACTTTACTTACCCAAAAAAATCAAGGCTGATAAACTCATATAAACTTCTAAAGTAGGATCTCAACAACACTCTTCCCAAACCGGTGGAACTGAGTCATAAGCTCCACAGAATAATCTGGAATATCTACTACAACACTGTCTCAATAAAAAATACAATAGAATGAAAGATAAGGGAAAGCAACTCTGACGCCTGCGGATGCCGACCAGGTATACCTTGAAGTCTCCGAAAAAAACAACTACAATCAATCACTAACGTCTAGCACGGGCAAACGTACATGGGTCTGCACAAAAAGATGTGCAGAAGCATAGTATGAGTACACTACAACCGTACCCAATAAGTATCAAGCCTAACCTCGATAGAGTAGTGACGATGCTAGGTCAAGACACCTACTAGGACATAATAAACAGAACGATAATAACAAGAAGTAATAGAAAGCAGAGAAATAAGTGATAACGAAGCAGGTTAACAACATAGACTAATGCCCAGATTGTAACCATAGAGATAACAACAAGGAAACAAAATAAAGAGAAACACAATAGTCAAATACGGACAAAACTGGTAAGACAGGAAGAATGAAAGCAACAAGAACTATTTCACCAATAACTTTTTACAACATGAAATAAACACAAGAATCACAAACGAGGTACCGCCTCATATACAACAAGAAGCACAACCGAGGTACCGCCTCGAATTCACAATTCTCAATTTCAATCACAATATTTCCTTATATCACCGAGGGAGCCTAACATTTAGTTTTAAAAAATATTTTTTCCGAAATAGCTACCCGCGTTTTAGCCCACCTTATCATACTGCGTGGCTTCAAGTAGTTCTCCTACTAGCAACACGCGTATCAAACCCCTTTATCTCACCGCATGCGTATCAACCCCAAGCCTTTTATGACCGCATGCGTATCAATATCAGAACATAATCACAATTCGAACTACAAGTGCCCATACGCCACAACTTGCCAGAAGAATCAACAATATCAATATTTTCACAACAAATAGCCCATGACTTAACCATAATGTGCACAAGAATCTCAATAATAATAATATAAAAGTGAATAGCATAACAAAAAAGATATCTCAACAATTAACATCTTTGCCTTAATATGATAACGGCTTTCTCAACTTCAACACCAATAACTCAACTACAAGATATTTCACGAAATAACAACTTCAACTACAAGTAATTCAACAATTTAAAGATGTAACAAAACGCAAGGAAGGCGATACCTTCAACTAAAGTATATAAGAGCAAATTAGCAAGTAAGAAGTGAAACAATATTAACAATGTCAAATAAAGCATATAAGGGTAGATTAGCACATGAAAGGGTGGATTAACAATGAAAGATATAACATGTTAAGACAATTCAATTAAAAGCATGATAAGAGTCTAAATAGTCTAAACCGGTCAAATACCAAATATAGCCTGTCACCTTGCGTACACGGCCTTCACACAACACAATTAGCACAAACAAATCAATTCCTAAGGGGTAGTCTCCCGACACAAAGTTAGGCAAGATACTTACCTCAACTAGGCCAACTCAACCCTCGGAAATAGCTTTTCCCCTAAAATTCGTCACCTCACGGCTCAAATCTAACTAAAATTGACTTAATATCATCAAACAATGCAAGAGAAAACAACTACAATAGACAAAGTTATGATCTTTACATTTTTTCCAAAATGTCAACAAAAGTCAACCCGAGGCCCGCCCGAGCAAAACCCGGGTCCAAAGGTAGATTCCGGTTACCCATAATCTCACGAGTTCATATATGTGATTATTTTAAATATCCGAGTCCATATCTACTTTCAAAACTCAAATTCTTATTTTTCAAATTGACAAAGTTTCCCAAATTTTCCTCTTTGATTCATATAAATTTGATGTTAAACCTAAGATATAATCATGAAATATAGTTGGAAATTGATTAGAATCACTTACCAAATATTTTGTAGATGAAAATTCCCTCTCCAAATCGCCTCCCACCGAGCCTAGGGTTCTAAAATATGATACAATGATATGAAATCCTGACCTTCTAACCTTTATTCAGTTACAGATGTCGCAATTGCGACACTAGGTTCGCAATTACGAACCCTCGCAATTGCGAAGAATTTCTTGCAAATATGGTAACTGCCCAGCCTACAAGGACTTCACAAATGCGAACCTTGTCCCTTCGCAAATGCGATAATTTGGTCGCAAATGCGAACTGCCCAGCTCAAGCTTAATCTTTGCAAACGCGAACAAGGTATTGTGCTATATTCGCAAATGCGAGGCTGGTGCTCGCAATTGCTACATGAGAGCACCAACACACCAGATTTTCTGTGATAAGTCCAAAACACTCTGAAACACGTCCGAAACTCATCTGAGCCCTCGGGGCTCGAAGCCAAACATCCACACATGTCTAAAAATATTATACGAACTCGTTCGCGCGATCAAAACACAAAAATAACATCTAGAACTACAAATAGGACACTAAAACGCATGAATTTCAAAGTTCAAGAACTACTAGAATTGCAACTAAACGTCTGAATCCTATCAAATCAACTCCAAACGATACCAAATTTTGCAGACAAATTCTAAATAGCATAAAGGGCCTATTCCAAGTACCAAAACCAAATTACGATCCCGATCGCCAAAAGTTAACCTACGATCAAACTTCTAGACTTCAAATTGCCAAATTTTGGCCAAACAACACAAATCGGCCTATGGACTTCCAAATTCGATTCCGGACATACGCCCAAGTCTAAAATCACGATACGAAGCTATCGGAGCCATCAAAACACCGTCTCGAGATGGTTTTCACAAAAGTCAAATTTTGGTCAATATTTCTAACTTAAGCTTCTAAGTCAGGAACCAAAGGATCTAAATCAACCTGGAATCTTCCCAGAACAAAACTAATCAACCCCGTAAATCATAAAATTATAAACACACATGTATGGAGCATGTGTGGGGGGGAGTAACGAGGCGCAATTACATAAAACGACCGATCATGTCATCACATTGTCTCTTCTCGTCTTTTCCGTCTCCTTGAGCCGATGATCTATCAGAAACATTCTCTCTACTGTTGTCTCTTCTCGTCTTTTCCGTCTCCTTGAGCCAATGGCCTATAAAAAACATTCTCTCTATTCCATCTAAGTAGGGGTAAAGTTTGCATATGCACTACGTTCCCCATACCTCAATTGTGGAATTTTACTGGGTCGCTGTTGTTGTCGAAGAAAGAAAGAAAAAGCATAACATCCTAAATAAATGGTATTATGGTCCCCAAAGTATAAAATCAGAAATCCTGAAAAATGACACATTTAATATTTTCACCTCACAAAAAATGTCCTATTCTCTTTACCGCCGTCTCCATAATGTCTTCACCAACACCGCTAAATCCCAAGTCCTTGCAGCCATCGCCGACGCCAAACCCAAAGTTCCTCCACCCTTCAACCCAATCAGTGAACCCGAATCCTCCAAAGAACAGAAATTTCGGCCACTGATTCGTAAATTCAAGTATTTGTCAAAAGATCCCAGATTCCGCTGCAGGCATGTAAATTATGAATCTTTCGTACGACGACTCAGCCGAACCCAACAGTTCTCAGCTATTGAAGATATCCTCGAGCACCAAAAAATTTACCCAGAAATAGAAGATGAGGGTTTCGTTGTACGACTCATTTCTTTGTATGGGAAAGCGGGTATGTTCGAGCAAGCCCGGAGACTGTTCGACGAAATGCCTGAGTTAAACTGTGAGCGTACAATCATATCATTCAATGCTCTATTGGCAGCTTGTGTTAACTCAAAGAAATATGATAAAATTAGTGAGATTTTCAGGGAATTACCTGGGAAATTAGCTATTTAGCCAGATGTTATTTCGTATAATACGGTGATCAAAGCATTATGCGAGATGGGTTCGTTGCATTCCGCAGTTTTAGCAGTGAAGGAGATGGAAAAAATGGAATTGACACTGATGTTGTTACTTACAATACACTTTTAGATGCGTTTCACAAGAATAATATGTCTTCTGAAGCTGAAAAAATGTGGACTTTGATGGAAAAGAAGAATGTGATTTCCAATGTTAGGAGCTATAATTCGCGAATACGCTGGTTGGTAGAAAACAATCAGGTAGTAGAGGCCGAGGAATTGTTTGAGGAGATGAAGAATAGGGGAATAAATCCTGATACATACATTTATAATTCCATGATTAAAGCTTGTGCAAAGGATGGCAATTTGGAATTGGCTAAAATTTGGTATGTTATGTTGGAGGAAATCGGTTGTGCTCCTAATCGTCCCACATTCAAGTTACTTATTACGCTGGCATGTGATAAAGATGATCCTGATTCTGCTTATGACTTGTGCAAGAAGTGTATTAATTTGAAACTAAATGTTTTTACTGGTACAATCCAAAGGGTGGTTGATGCGTTGGTTGATCACTCGATGATCGAAGAAGCAAAGGAGCTTCTGGAGATAGGAAAGAACTGTCCTTTCCGTTATAAGCTGTCAATGCCAAACGATCTCCAGTAATATCACATCTCTGTTAACCCGAGTTGTTTGCCTCTACTGATTGGGTTATGATTTAACAAGTTTCTAATTTCCTTGAGTGTGACATTCGTGATCGAAGAAGTAGAATATCTTGTGGAGTTAGGGAATTAGATGCCACCATTATAAGCTGGAAAAGGGAATAAATGCCCAGCGATACAATATTTCTGTCAAAGTTTGGTCGGTATATGTTTCCTCTATTGATTTGGGTTACTATATCATGAGCTTTGTTTCAATCATGAGACACCACCTATTCCAGCACTGATTTGAGTTGTGCAATATGTAAGTAGGTTTTTTTTTCAATTGAGACACCACCTATTCCAGCATTAATTGGCACTTTCAATTGCCAGCTAATTAAAAAGATTAAATTTGGTGTTCCAAAAGGTTTCGTGAATATGTGCAATTCTGACATGTGTTTTACTTAATTCCCAAAGGAAGCTTATCTTAGGCTGAACTTTATTTGCCCAGTACTATTTTGCTAAGGCAGGACATTACCCATTTTCTTCTGTTGAACACAAAATTGAAATAAAGAAGAATAAGTGCAGTTTTTCCTGTTTCTTGAATCCAAAATTATCATACAGTTGGTCATGTTCCTTAAAGACCAAACTGGTTTGCATCCATCTTCTAGGATTGGAATCAGAACATGGACACTTATTTTTAGAGGAACTTCCTATCTCAAAGATTACGACAAAGGTTAAATACTAAATTGTATTTAGAGCAGGAAGTTGTTGACCCATAAAATCAAACTTGTAGATAGGGCAGCAGCATCGATCAAACCATGATCCAAAGATAATCGTTCTTAGCAAACAATTACGAGTGTAAGAGAGAGAATATATGATGAGATAGGAATCGAAAGGGACATGTTTAACATTATGCAACACAGTAAAATACAGTGATTAGCACGCTTGGTTCATATGATTTAGGCATACTTGTACATGCATAAAAAGAGAAGCCTTATTATTGTCGAAGGAGAAATGCATAATATAATTAGGACGAGTGATTCAAATTTCAGACTATATACCTTATATCTTGTCTAAGCTTTGTAAAGACACATGCAATTACATGGGACAGAATGGATTAATGCAATTAACAAACTATCTGGGATGAAACTATCACTTTTTGGTTTATTTCAAAAGCCTTTACTAAAGTTTACGTTTTGAGACATTTACACAAAAGAAAATGTAACTGGGACATAAAAATTACTTTTGAAAAGGCAATCCACCTACTAAATTAAGATCCAATTATTCAAAATGAACCTGATATTAAAAGTTCCTTTTAAAAAATTCTCTTCAATGTCTTATTAGAACGAAAAAAATTTGGCCGGATCAAAGGTCGAACTTCCGTTCTCCTGCAAAATGTCATTAACCAGACAAACTTATATTGCAACAAAACAATTTAGGTAAGCAATTGCTTTTTTCCCTAATTATATGCTAATATTATTACTCATAATATTTCTATTTTTTAACCTACTTAACCTCTAGCAGAGACCTTCCTAGTCTATAATTACTTCGAATGGATTGAACTAGACATACGATGAGTGTCTTCTTTAGAGTTCTGATAGGTACATGTTGACATGAATCCATTAAGGAGTGAACGACTATTTCCCAATTCCACAAGCTCTTTGGCTTTTTCTGGAATGAGTTGATCAACCACCTGTAGCGCTGTCGTGGAATATAAAATTGACTCAAATCAGTAGACTTTTTGTTACCCATAAGATGATCATGAAGTTTCTTATAGAAATTTGTATCACGGAAACAGAAGAGTCCACCACTTGTAAAGATTCCACCACTATGTTTACAATTAACTCCAATTATCAAGGATATCACGAAGTGAAGCAAATAATACTGGGAAAAAAAAATACTACTACAAATGTGACACTGAGAAAATACAATTTTAAGATAGACTTTCCTTGGGGAATCAAGGTAAAACACAAGTCAAAAATTCCTGTTTTCTGACGTTGCACATGAAGTTCTACAAGTAAACAAGAAAAACCCTTTGGCAAGAGTAAAATCTTTCTTGTTTAATTAGTTGGCAATTGGAAGTTTGGAAACTGGAAGCGCCAATTAATGCGAGCGGTATCTCATCATTGAAACAAGAAACTCCTTATATCCTGCTGCTAAACTCCTTACTTTGACAGAAAAGTAATATCACTAGGCATCTTTTCCCCTTCTGTAAGCATATAATGGTTCCAGCTAATCTTCCCCGACTCCACAAGATCTTCTAATTCTCTAATCTTCCCTGACTCCACAAGATCTTCTAATTCTTTCACAAGGACCACCTAATCATCGAAACAGAAAACTTGTAATATCATAATCCCAACCAGTGGAGACGAACTGTCAAAGAGATGTGATATTACTAGGCATCATTTGGCACTGTCAGCTTATAATGGAAAGAGCAGTTCTTTCCCATCTTCACAAGCTCTTTTGCTTCTTCGATCATGGAGTGAGCAACCAACATATCAACAACCCGTTGTATTATACTAGTATAAACAGTATGTTTCAAAACAATACACTCCTTGCACAACTTATAAGCGAAATCAGGATCACCCTTATCACAGGCCAGAGGAATAAGTAACACGAATGTCACAAGATCAGGAAGACAACCGTTTTCCTCCAACTTCGCATACCAACTTTTAGCCAATTCCAAATCGTCATCCTTTGCCCGAGCTGAAATCATCGCGTTATGACTATGAGTATCAGGGTTTACTCCCCTTTTCTTCATCTCCTCAAACAATTCCTCAGCCTCTACAACCTGACTGTTCTCTACCAACGAGCGTAATCGCGAGTTATAACTCCTAACATTCGGAATAACATTCTTCTTTTCCATCAAAGTCCACATTTTTTCAGCTTCAGAAAAATTATTATTCTTGTAAAACACATCCAAAAGTGTATTGAAAGTAATAACATCAGGGTCAATTCCATTTTTTCCCATTTCTTCAATTAGCTGAACTGCAGAATGCGGTGAACCCATCTCACAGAAGGCCTTGATCACCGTATTATACGAAACAACATCTGGCTCAATAGCTAATTTTCCAGGAAATTCCCTGAAAATCTCACTAATTTTATCATATTTCTTCGAATTAACACAAGCTCCCAGTAGAGCATTGAATGACATGACTGTACGCTCACAGTCTAAGTCAGGCATTTCGTCGAACAGTTTCTGGGCATGCTCAAACATACCAGCTTTCCCATACAAGGAAATGAATCGTACAACGAAACGCTCACTTTTTATTTCTGGGTAAACTTTTTGGTGTTCGAAGATATCTTCAATAGCTGAGAACTGTTCGTCCTGGATGAGCCGGCGTACGAAAGATGCATATTTTTGATAACTGCGGCGAAATTTAGGATTCTTTGAGTCTTGCTTGAATTTACGAATCAGCGACCGAAATGTTTGCTCTTTAGAGGATTCGGGTTTACTGATGGCTTTGACGGGTTGAGGAACTTTGGATTTGACATCGGCGATGGCAGTAAGGACCTGGGGTTTGGCGGTCTTGGTGAATACATCATGGAGACGGCGGTAGAGAGAAGCCATTTTTTGCGAGGTTATAGCTTAACCAGTGCTGAAAAGCTTATTTAAAAGTAGTTATTTTAAAAATAAGCAGTTACGTGTTTGGATAAAAGTACTAAAATTAATAATAAGCAACTAAAGAATTGGGTATACGAAAAGTTTTGTTTTAAAAAGAAGTATTTTAGGGAAGAATAGTAAATATTTTGGTCAAACCTAAAGTGGTTATAAGCTGAAATTTGATAAGTTAAGGGACACCAACTTATGGCTTTTGGCTTATTTTTGGCTTATAAGCACTTTTAATTTTACCAAACGCATAGATAAGCCAAAAAGTGTTTATAAGCCAGTTTGACCAGCTTACAAGCTTAGCCAAACACCCTCTAAATGTGTCATTTTACGCGACTTCGGCTATATGTTTTATAAAGCTTTATCTAACGGACCATAATACCAAGTAGGTCAAGACTCAAGATTCTTCTCTATTTGTCTTTTAAATTAAAAACCATTTGAAAAATAAACTAGACGATAACTTTTTCTTTTCTCCCCTTTGATTCTCCTTTGACCCCTCTTCCTATATATTAGAGCTATTTGTGATGACCAGCCATGTCATCATGCCACCTAAGCGACATTTGACATATATTAATGTCATGTGGAAGCTTACATAAGAAGAAGGCTAGTATTTGTGAGAAGATTCTAGATAGGTATGGACATTTCCTTAGGAATAACCTAGATCCTTATGAATTTGCTAGGAAAGTCCTTGGAATCTTCTAGGCTTGTAGAAAATTATAGAAAAAGCCCTTATCTTGTAAATATCAAGGACTTGTATAATAATTAATATTTACACACTAGCCCCTAGGAGACTAGTATATAAAGGGGGTCATTCATTTGTAATTCATCATGCAAACAATTCAAGTTCTCTCTAATACAAAGCTTCCTTTAAAAATTCTCTTGTGTTCTTTCTTCCATTCTTTTAGCGATCTTGAGTGTAGTAAGGCTGACTTGACATAGCAAGAACGTGAGCGAGTTATCAAGTGTCGTATGTGTACTTAGTTAACAACTAAGGACGTGACAACGTGGTATCCGAGCGAAGGTTTCAACTAAGGGAATGGCGAACGACGGAGAAATTAACGCTGCCAACACCCAAGCCAACGTCATCCAGGATGTTGTTGGCAAGAGTGGTCGTAGCAAAAAGAGGAATGCCACCAACAAGAGCCAGGAGGTGCCACTTGAGGTTGTGTCAAACGAAGGGCTTACATCCCAAGAAACATCTGCCACTGAGGCGAGCGAGGATGAAGTGAAGGTCCTTCCAGAGGACGTCTCGCTCGGTAAAGAGTGGGTGATGAAGATGAACGCGGGGATGGACGCCGTGGAGATATTTGGCCAACGTTTGGGGAAGGTGGAAGGCACCCTTAACGTTCTTGAGGGGCACACTCTTGAAGAGATTGAGAGTATCTGAAATGACTTGGAGGGACGTACACAGACTGAGATGGAACTAAGGCAAACCATCACTGCCTTAGAGTGCAGACTCATGGAGGCTTTGAGTACTATCGATGCTATGAAGGCAAAGATAGAGTCACTCGAGGAGCATGTCAATGCTGGCGTGACCGAGGTAGCCAACAATGTTGTGGTGACGAGGGAGTCTAAGATCAACACTGCAGTATTGTACCTCTCAGAGATTGTCATGCTATGGTGGAGAAGGAAGATGGCCGACGTAGATAAAAGTCTATGTACTATTAGCACATGGGATCAGTTCAAAGCAAAGTTCAAGCGACAGTTCTTTCCAAACAACGTCTTGTACGAGGCAAGGCGCAAGCTTAGGGAATTGAAGCAAACAGGGAGCATACGTAACTATGTCAAGGAGTTCACTACCCTTATGCTTCAAATCCCCAACCTGACCAATGATGACTTGTTGTTCCACTTCATAGACGGGTTGCAAAATTGGGCTAAGCAGGAGTTGCAACGCCGACAAGTCACTGATATATACCAAGCCATAGTGGAGGCCGAATCATTGATTGATTTCAGGAATGACAAGCACGACAAAGGCAATGTCAAAGAGTCAAAGGTTAACAATGCCAAAGGTGGGGGAGACCGTGGCAAAGTTAAGGAGATACAACAACAATAATCCAAGACTCAAGATTTCAAAAAGTCGAGTGGTCGTCAGGGCTACACCGAGAAGAAGGCGCATGTCGAGAAGAAGGGATGCTATATATGCGGAGGGCCACATGGATTCAGGAATTGTCCTGACCTCAAGAGCCTCAGTGCCATGGTATGTGAGCGGAAGGAGCAGCCACAAGGAGAGAGTCCAGGAACCGCACAGTTGGGTATGATCGGATTATGTGGTGCTATCACGAAGCAAGCTATCCAACCTACCGAGAATGGAAATCAGTATATGGATCTCCCCATCAACAACAAGCCCGCTCGTGCAATGGTGGATACTGGAGCAACTCATAATTTTGTGACTGAGGTTGCCGCAAAGAGACTAGAATTGAAGCTTGCTCCAACCAATTCTCGCGTCAAGACCATGAATGCTGAGATACAGAATGCTCGGGGGGTAGCTAATGGAGTTGGTGTTAAATTGGGAACTTGGAAAGGTATGACAAACTTTACCGTAACCGCTATGGATATCTTTGACATCATACT